TTGGTCACCTTATTTTGTAAAACGTCCTTCATTTTGTATTTGTCTGATGTTTCCCCCACAGTTACATTCACGCTTTGTACCTTTGGCAGGAATATCACAGAAAAGATGTACATTCTCAGTGCAGCCTATCCTATCAAGTGATGGAGGATTTCAATCTTTCCCATTATTTATGTTCACTTGATAAAAGTGACCTGCCGGCCTTCTCTACTTTAAAACTACTCTTTTCCTCATTGTACTTAAGAAACATTATAGGGACTCCTTGGTGGCGCAAGGGGAAGTCTTAGCACTATGACGCTATTGGCAACCACTGCAGCATGAGTTCAATCCCCGGCAAGGGAGATGACCCACACGGCACAGCAGACCTCTCCTGTCTTTCCCACTGCTCCCTCAGGAGAGTATTTCAGTAAATCTGCCTGTTCTGCTCCCCACTCTGTCTCTGGTGAATCCTCTCACCCCCTTAATCTCTGGTCTATACCCCAGTTCTACGAAAAAAAATTGCAGGCTTTAAATGGAACCTCCATTAAGGTAGCAAACTGCACATAAAGCTATTACAGAACAGACTGTTAAAACCAAATTGTACTTACTCTAACACTGTATACTTAATATATCTTTGGTATAGAAAGATAAGAATATCAACTAGAGGAGGAATTCAAACTGCCATTGGAATTCTGCCTAGTTTTTTTCTTGTTGCTGGTGTTGTAAAGTTTGTCTTGGCCTGGAAGTTTTTGAGGCTCTAGTAAGGGGCCGCTTATTTCTTTGTGAACCAGAATGGGACAGAGCTGAGATGCTTTGGATCTAGATTGTTTGAAAGATTTGACTGAATGGCTGAAGTTTGGTTAAAGATTTATTTTATTTATGCATCCAAGTACTCCGGTATAAGCCAGAGGTGTGCAGGAAGGGGTTGAGAAGATTCAGCAGAGACAGAGTGGGGAGCAGAACAGGCAAATCTACTGAAATACACTGCTGAGGGGAGCAACAGGCGAGACAGGAGAGGTCTGCTGCGCCATGTGGGTAGCTCCCTGGCCAGGAATCGAATCCATGCTGCAGTGGCTGCCAATAGTTTCCTTGTGCTCACTTAACCCCTTGTGCCACCAGGGAGGCCCCCATTGTTGGCTAAAGGTTTGTTGAAATACATGGTACAATTATTGGTGACTTCTTACAAGTGGGAGTCCTACTTGGAGATGATTCAGAAATTGGAGGAAGCCCCAAATATTCAAGATGGCTTGAAAAGCTGCAAGGACTTAGGCTGAAACATGTAACCCTCCAATGAAGCTTGATTTCTTTTTAGCCTGATCTACCATATTCGACTGGGGAAGTCCCTGAAGGGAGGTGGGTACACAATTGCTTGTCACTAATTTGACTTTTTGCTGAATAAGTCTCTTGACATTTATGGTCATGTGCAAGTTTGCTTCAGAAGGGGTATGCCCAGCTACATTCTTACAGAATTGTGCACCAAAAAGACCTGTCTTCCAGACCATAATTGCGTTCTTGTTGCAAGCTGTGTAAAGTGTCCATCCAGATGCACATTGCGATGTACCCTCTGAACTGTGCATTCTCTGTGGGCCTTGGTATGTTCCAACTTTATTAGCATTGTCTGTGGGTCTGGCATTTATTAGCATTGTCTATTTGGGCGGATTTATTGACATAGGTCTTTGGTGACCAAGTTACAAGTTAATGTCCTAGTAATTGTAAAAATCTTTTATTTCTTTTAATCTTTAGCCTCTATATGTTTGATAACCATTTTCTGGCTCTGGACTGCTTTAGTAAATACAGTTGATTATCACGCAATGAACCACCTCCATCATGCTGATGTGGCAGAGGTTTCAGGTTGAGTAACTGAGTTTACAGTGGTGCTATCCTGCATCATGTGCAGCCACTATCACTAATTTTTTGTTTTGGGGACATCTACAAACATCTTCTGAGCCGAGAAAAAATGTGAACTGGATCCATGGCTTTCAAAACGAATCACAGGAGATTCTCGAAAAGGGGAACTTCTGCTCAAATCATTTTTTCCAGTGATGATAGTGGTCATGATGGTTGATGTGGTAATGTTTCTCCTCCTCCACCTCTCAGGTGGTCTTTTCCACTTCAGACTGCTGAAGTAGCGCATCTGGTCACACTCCACATTTTAAAAAGATGCATCCTCAGACAGACCCACCTCAAGCAGAAAGTCAACATCAAGGTTACACAATTAAAGGTTGTTCAGATTATCTATGCTGTTCATTTTGGAGGACTCATAGCTCCCAGGCAGGTACTCTCCAATGGGCTTCTAGCCACTTCATCCCACACGGACACGCCATTGGAGCGTTCAAATGAAAAACCAGAGCTGAAATCTTTATGTAGTGAAATCATTATTCCCAAAGTATGTTTTATATATCCACTCCTGTCAGAGAGATCTATCCACTCATTGGATTTACTGAAGGATTCTTCATTTCCCTTGGAGTCTCAAATATATTCTTTGGTGGCACATTTTCATGCCTTTCTTCTCTGAAATTTCCTCTAGTTATTCGAGTTCGGGGGGAGACTTTTATATCCATAAAACAATTGCTGAAGTCTCTTTTAAATCATTTTCAGACAGTGGCTAATACAGAAATATCAGGTATGTAATTTTAGCAATGTGCTTCATGAGGTGGTCATTTTCTGTTCTGTATTTATCACTTTTAATTAGCACATGGTCCTTATCACTAACTCTGTCCTTACCCAAGAGAACAGTGCAGCATCTTCCTCCTCATCAACTGTGATACCATCAACTGGATAGTCCCAGAAAATGAAGTGGGCTAGGTTTTTATAGAGAGGAATGAACCAACCTGTCCTATAACCCAAAGTGGAGGTAATGCCTGGTAAAACCAAATTTGGTAAAACCAAATTCTTTCCACCAGCAGCATTTAGGCCTAAATGATCATTTCCCTTGAGTACTTCTGACTGCCAGGAGTTTCTTGTTGGCACACTTAACCTTCGTGCATCCTAATGGTTCTCATAAGATTTTATAAGAGCTACAGGTGTACTGGAGGAATGTGACCTGGTTATAGAGGAAGGTGGAAGGAATTCTGAATGGGATATAAAAACTTTGTGACCTTGCCATTTTTCCCACAAGATTTACTGTTGTCTAGGGATTGTGCTAAACTTTCTCCAGAGCAGCTTCCAGTGGCACAGGAATTTCCTCTAGGCCTTTGGATGCCACCAGCAATTGGTCACCATAAAATCCATTCAACTGAACCACCTATCACATCCCTGCCCTCACAGGCCTGTGAATCAGCATGGCCCTCATGGTCTGAGGAAACACCAGAGTCCGGAGCCACCTCTGATGGATACACATATGGGAGGGGCCTAAAACTTACACAACTTTGAAGGCACTCTTTAAGGAAAAGAAATTAGATACAGGGTCTTACAAGGAGACTGTGCAAGTATGGAATACTGAGGCTTAAGCAGCAGGTCCACCGAAGGAAGTTAGAGTGAAAGTTCCTAGACCCAATGGTTGGCCACAACAGGTATACAAAACTTACGGTACTAATGAAGACGTCAGCATCTAGCTTGTTCTTCTATGTATGAGGTCCAACAAATTTCTATTAAATACCTCTGACTGAGCCATGACTTGTCTCACCTGAGAAAATAGGTGCTAATCAAGTTCTGTCATTCAGCCAAGGATGACACAAGACTTCCAATAGGTCTTAATCATTTTAATTGACTTTAATGATTATTGCTCATCTGCAAGGATTAATATTGCATTCATTAAAAATCACTCAATACAAAATAAACTTGTTCCTCCACGTTGCTCTCAACACGCTCCCTCTGATGCCAGACATTTTCCCACAGTGTCCTTTGTTACATGGCTTGACAGAGACGGAGCCCTTACCTACTATTCCTATGGACACAGTAATAGATATGGGAGAAGGGGGCAGACCAGAGGGCAGCAGGACCTGAGTCCCTTCCCTCCAGCAGAGCTGACTCGATGCACCACTGTTGGTCAGGTTACCTCATCTAAAGGATCTGGTGTTCTGATTGGCTGGTTAAATGCCCTAGGAGAAAGGGCTTGAACCATTAGCATCTACAGAGAAGAAAGCATGGTCACACTGGCAAGGAGTGGGAAGGGTTTGGGTGGGAAAAAACAGGAGAGGGAAGGGAAAAAAGTTTTGGCAAGAACATTATCCCCTGCTAGGAAGCTGCAGGGTGAAAGTCTTCCTTTGTTTGTATTCTTGTTTTTAATATTTGTCTCTCTGATCAATGGCGATACAAAAATGAAAACTTCTAGTACCTAGCATTAATGCCTGGCTCAACTTTGAAGGATCACAAGCTAGAACAAGTTGAGGACTTGGAATCCCGGATAATTATATACTTAAAGCTCGTGAGCACAAAGCTCATTTGACCATGCAGAAATGCTGGTTAGCAGGGTGCATGGCATGGGAATACAGCTCTCTGATCGCTGAGAGAGCCTCTCAGGGGATTTGTTCAGAGCATGAGCCAGGACATGCTGGTGACTTTCTCTATGCACAAACTACCCTTTAAAATCTTAGTTCAACTTTTTGTGATATGCGCCAATCAAAAATGGTACCACTTCTGTAAAATTAACGTCCTACACGAGTTATACAGAACTAGATTTCCCTCACCCTGGCCCAATATACCCTTCTTCCTCCCATCCACATCTACCTCCCTTTAAATATTTTAGGTTGCAGAAGCACAGCTGACCAGAAATTTGCTCTTAAAGGATAAATCCTAAAGATAGAGCTCAGTGTTTTATACTGAGTAATGGCTCAAGAAATTTGCCTTCAGCAAAAGCTGTATGGGGCGGAGCTGATAGAATTTGCTGTTATGGCCCCAGTTCATTGATGCTATAAACTATGGTCTAGAAACAGAGGGATTTATCAGAGTCCGAGACAAGCACTTCTCTGGCCTCAGCTCTGCGCTCTTAGCTCTGAAGGTTCAAAAGTGAAACTGAGAACAACTAACTACCCAAGCACTTCCTCAGTGTTAATACTAGAAATGTTTCTTAAATATCTTTTTGTACAACAGAAATAAATGCTGGGGACAAAATTCAGTTTAATAGAGTGCAATCTGGTTTAAATCCTGGAAAACAAGAAGATCTTGTGGGAAGAGAGGAAGGGCTGTATACTAAATCCAAGTGGGCCTATTGGATCTTAACAAGCACAACTCACTAGTACACATCTTAGAACCAGATATACCACCTTTACATAGCAAACAGGACTTGGGATGTGGGACATCTAGGGTAAATTAACATGCACCACCTACATCTAACCTACCTGGTTGGTAGGTACCATCCCTGCTCGTCTGAAGAAGTGAAAGAGCACGATTTCAGCAGCTAAGAAATGGGCTCTTTAAGGCAATTTAGACATTGCAGATTGTTCCACATAGAAGGTACCTTAGCATTTCTTGTTAATAAGGTACCTAATTAAGACTAACGTCCCCAGAAATAGTATAGAAAGAATCACCTTTCTGGGCTGGGAGAGTAAAATCCTTCTTTAGTGACTAGGGTGAGGAACCTTGAATCTCAGTTTCATCTAGAGAGCCATGAAGCAAGTTCCTGTGTGGCCTGCAGAACTTGGACAATGAGATGAAAAACAAAACAAGAATGAAATTACAGGAAAACAAATCAAGAGGAAAGGAATAAGAAGAAAATAAAAGTTATCTTAAAAAATATTTCTTTTAGAGTTGCGTGGTTCATGTGGACTGGTCCTTGATAATATGGTCCATTAGTATCTGCAAAGAAAGAGAATGATGGGTGAGCGGTTGCATCCTCAACAAGAGCTCCAGGAGAGGAATGAGAAATGGAACACACTATCCAGGGTGCCTCCTGGCCCAGGCTGGGAATCCCTGCAATGACTCCCCAGGGATCATTCTTCCAGGGCTTCTGACAAGACCGTCTCTGGTTTCACCTCGCATGTTTTTCAACCCTGACTATATATTAAAATAATCTGGTGAGCTTTTACAAATTAAATTGAGACTCACATCCCAGGCCAACTGTATCAGAAATCTCGGGGGGTGAGGTTGAAACACCGAAAGTTTAGAAAACCCAGTCTCTTTACATCTATTATTAGATACATGATTTCTCTGCCTACCTTGTTAGTTTGGAGCAGAGTTCTCATACTCTTCAAAATCAGGTACTTAAGAAATACATGATTTAAGGTATTTATAAACACTTTTTAAGAAAGGTGATTACTTGCTTTAATATTGGGGAAAAGAGTGTTTCATTTGCTTTCTCCCAAGTTACCTGTAATAATTGGGTTTGAATGGCCCATTTTTGTTGAGTCCCAGATATTTCGCTTGGTCATCTGTCAGCTCTGTCAGGTGGGCATCAAATGATGGCAGGTGCAAGCTGGCAACGTACTCATCTAGGAAGAATAAAGTAGCAGGGGAACAGGAAGCATATTTTAAATATGCGTTTTAGGGCATATTTTCATTTGAAACTTTTTAAGAGGACAAGGAATGGAGTAACTCTGAAAGAATACACAACTTGAAATATTTGCTTAACCTAAAAAAAGCCACTTATCAGGGTCACAAGATAGAGTGGACTTGTACCTCCATTCTCCTCTGGTAAAGCTTTTGGTATTAACTCAGCGGCCAACATGCCATGTACTACTGTTCTTCATCTTTCTGCAGCCACTTCCTTATCTGGATTATAGTCAAATCATGAATCAAAGTGGACACCAATAAGCTCAAAAGAGCCTGTGTCATCAACATTTACTTAAGACAAGATCCATTAAGGCTTCAAATCTTAGGACCATGAATTTCTAAGGTCGGCACAAAAATATTACTTTTCTAGAGATAAGGGTCTTTGGATTTACCTTTTTGAATAAGAATTTTTTTACAAAAACATGGCATAAGCTGTAGGGAAAAGAGCAAGTTTTTTTTTAAGCTTTAAGAGGACAGGGATGGTTGACCAATGAGAGGGAAGGTGGGCACCACTGTTCAGAAAGGACAAAGACCTGAGATGATGTGTTAGGTCCCACGAACACAGCATGATCATCACTGAAATGACAGGAGGCTATATTCATATACACACAAAGGATGGATGAGAAAACCTTTGTTTTTGTTTCTCTCACTGTGGTCCAAAGCTTTTCTCAGTTTTAATGTGAACATTACTGAACTTATAAGAGCATCTAGCGCACTATATGCACTTGTACATTAGCTATAATTCCTACCACAATTTGGTAACATATGTAGTATTTTCCTCACTTTATTGACAAAGAAACTGAGGTTCATGGAAATCAGAACTTGTGCTGAGGTCCAACAGGTGCTAAAATAGGAATTAGAACTCTAAATCCAATGCTTTTCATTATTTATTTATTTATTTATTTATTTTTTTGGTGGGACCCTCGCTGGTGGACGGGGATCGAACTGGCGCTGCAGAGGCTGTGGGCAGCCTCACAACCCAGAGCTCAACCGCTGCGCCACCAGGGGAGGCCCGCTTTTCATTTTTAAAAAAAATTATTATTTTGTAGAACTAGGGCACAGGCCAGAAGGATTCATCAGAGACAGAGTGTGGCGCAGAACACATGGATTTTACTGAAATACACTGCCAAGGGGAGCAGTGGGAGAGATAGGAGAGGTCTGCTGTACCATATATGGGTCAGTTCCCTGGCTGGGGATTGAACTTAGGCCATAGAGGTGATAGCGCTGAGACTTAACCCCTACACCACCAGGGAGGCCCTAATGCTTTTCATATTAACTGTAATAAACCATGCAACAATCTGGGAGATCAATACAGGTTTCTACTATTTCTCACTCACCCATTTTCTTAGGAAGCAAGTACACATCTTGTTTGTATCGTCCCTCAGGTGCATTATAGAGCTCTATCAGTGCCAGAGCCTAAGATGGGAAAAGAGGATTCAAAAGCACAAACACTTAGATAGGGGCATAAAAATAAAAGTAGGTTTAACACAAAGATAAAACTAGTAAGTAAATACTAAAGTGATCTACTACTATAGTAACAGCACCAAGGAGTTAGCCTGTAGTAAGTGCCAGCACACATCACAAGAGGACTCACTGTTGCTTTTGTCTTGCTCCTGATAAAAGACACAACTAAGCTGGAATACTACATTCTGAGCCAGCTCAAAAGGACACAAACAGTGATTCTGCCTGGATTGATTACTTGAGAAAGCCTAAGTCTCAACAACTTACATCCTTGAAAAAAAACAGGTTGATAAGAACATAGCAGGACTCATTGTCATTAGAACTCTGACCAGTTCACTCATCTCATTGCAGGGTAACAGGCATTCAGTCACATACCTGTGTTGTAGCTGTGATGGACAAAACAAAAGTGGGAACTGTGGAGCAGCTCAAATTGAGCAGACGCCCCTGCAAGGTAAAAGAGAGTCCTGAGATGAGCCGTGTTATCCATCTGTATGATTCCACTGTCATTCAAGTCAAGCAAAGCCAGGAAAGGAGTTTACACTATCTACGCTAGGAAAAGGAAGAATTACAGTTTTAGACCCAAATTCTAGATTTTAGCTAACTTTGTGCAAGTTCATCTAACAAGACAAAGAATCAGCTGTGGTCAGGAAACAGTATGCTCCTTAGAAGAAAATAGATTTTTTTTTGAGTGACTCTATTTGGGGACCAGACCATTTGATAAATATACCTCCATGCGAAGATAAGAGTTCAGGGAATCACAGGGCGAGTATTTTTTTCCTGCCTTCCCTCCCCCACATAGGTAACTAACTACTCTGCTTGTGCAGCACTGCTGGAGTCCTTCTGAGTGTGTACCTCTGCTAGTAGGACGACACGCTTGCCATCTGGCCAGATGACATGGTCCACCTGAGAACGGACTCGCTCCCATGTCAGCTCCGGAGTGCGGAGGCTGGTCTGAAAGGACGAGAGCACAGTTGGCTGTGGCTATGAGGGGAGGGAAAGGAGGCAGGCCTACCAACAAAGGAGCGAGAGCAGTCTTACCACATCAATTTCTGTGTTGGAGTGGCCCATATTGCAAACAATACAACTGTTTTTCATGCGGTCCAAGTGTTCCCGTGTCACTACATTTTTATTTCCTAAAAATAAAGGAGGGTGGCTGAGGAAGGAGATGCTAGGAAACAAATGTAGTGACTGATTTTCAGTTAGAACATGGCAGAGAGGTTTGCTAGCATTAAAGAGCATGTATACATCATAAGAAAATAAGCGTGCATTTTATAGTAGATCTTTAGGCTCAGTTATTTGTTTTTAAAATGGAGCAGTAGAAAAAGCCATCAGGGAAAAAGGTTCTTTGTTCTGGAAAACATATTAAGGGTCTAATAACTTACTCTAGTTCTAAGATGTTCACACTGAGCACAGGTCTCACCCACTGTGTATGAACGTCAGTCATAAGACTTTCAAGATTTAGCCTCAGAGTTAACATCCCTCACACACCCCAAAGTACTGGTACTTACCTGTGCAAGTTATTACGACATCAACTTGCCGGATGACTTCATTTAGCTTTACCACCCTGAACCCATCCATGCTGGAAGAAAAGGAAGGAAAACTATGATCAAAGCAAGGAGCAGTAAGATAGAAGCTGGTCACAAAATGAGACAACTAAATTCTCTTCTAAAGTGCTACCTCACAAGGATGTAAAGTGACAAGCTGTGCTAAACTATACACACTGGCCTCTTCAGATTCCCCAAGATTTCATCCAAGAAGGAATTGCCAAGAGGCTCTAGGAGTGCCCCAGGTTTACAATGAAGGGAACAGAGCAATCTTAGCCTTCCTCCTTTGAGAGATTTCTGCAAGGAATGGTTAACACAATCAATCATAAACTCTCAGAAACAAAGTACCTGGAATGAATCAATAGTATTGCCGCTCTGTTCTTACCAGGCCTGCAGAGCACAGATGGGGTCAATTTCTGTGATATAGACAATTGCTCCGAGGGCCTTGAGAGCAGCACAGCAGCCCTTTCCCACCTGCGGAGCATAAGAAAGAAGGTAGGCTGTCAGGTGCAGGGTATCGGGGCAGGTAGACAGTTTGGGAAATGGATCTTAACCTCCTCAAGTCACCAATCAACTAGCAAGCCTTTGGAGGAATGACCCAAGCACAGTAGAAACAGATCTAGATTATGCTGTGCCTATTAGTGAGAGAGGTGTTCTACAGACACTTCATACTTCATAGCAAGGGCTGGGGCTTGGGATGAAGAGATCAAGAAAATTAAAATGTTACCACTAGGGAAACAAGATCAAGAAAGAGCAACTACAACCTCTAGTTTTTAACTCTAGAAAAACCTGGTAACTCTCACTGGAGAACACAAGGACAACCAAGCAACTCAGGAACATCTGTGGGTTATTACTGAAGACGATAAAATCTCCCGCACCTATTCCAGAGATATCAACTATAGGCCACTTCCATTTTCACACTTCACTTGAATTAAGTCTCATGAAAGGTTTTTGTTGGAAATGTGGGGGAGGGGGTTGGGGAAGAATGTCAACTTTCTACTTTACAAAACAAAATAATGGAATCTGAAAAATCAATTCATTCACGTGTCCCTATTTGTGAAACTGAATAAAGGTCTTTTGCTATTGCTTTGAGAAATATTATCTTAAAGCACATTTTAAACCCTATATGAGTGATTCCATGCCAACAGCATAACTCCCTTCATTCAACAATCCTAATACGTGTATGAAAAGACAGACACTGAGGTCCAGCTATTTACCTCACCATAGCCACACACCACCACTTGTTTCCCACCAAACATCACATCTGTGGTCCTCTTCAAGCTGTGGAAACAGACAATGGTTCAACTCAAACAAAAATGGTTCAGCTCAGGACCTCCCTGGTGGCATAGCCAGTTGAGTGCAGTGCTGTGAAGCCGTCCGCAGCCTCTGCAGCATGGGTTCGATTCCCAGCCGGCCAGGTAGACAGCCACATGGTGCGGCAGACTTCTGTCTTGCCCGCTGCTCCCCTCAGCAGTGTATTTCAGTCTGTCTGCCTGTTTTGTTCCCCGCTCTGCCTCTGGTGAACCCTCTCACCTTCCCGCGCCTTGGGCCTATACCCCAGTTCTTGTATAAAAATAAATCTTGAAAAAAAAAAAGGTTCAGCTCAAACAAAGTCTCTCTGCACAAATTAAAATTGTGGGGCTCTACTCCACTTCAACCAAAGTTGGTTGGGCTCAGAATAGGATCCCTTTAACAAATTTTTAAAGCCAAAGGAGACCAGAAGACAGGACTGAAGTGATAGCCAACCAACAGTGCAACCCAATCCCAGTTTAACTCCCTGTAAATTTGAATATTTCAACCTACCCATCCAAGATGGATTCTCGACAGCAGTACAAGTTATCAAACTTCTGTTTGGTAACAGAATCATTGACATTCATGGCTGGAACACAGAGCTTCCCAGCTTTGGAGAGCTGATACAGCCTAAAGGGAGAAGCCACAAAAACAAACAAAACAAAAGTTAGCTGGTAAAACGTAGTATGTAGGAAAATCAGCTTCATTCTCTTCAAGTTCCATGCTGCCCTCCCCAATCTTAATTATTTCCCAAGGTTACTAGTAACAAGACTTTCCTTGTCCTCCCTCCTCACTTGTTTTTGTTTTCTTTTCCCTCTAGGCACCCTTCCCCTGCTTTTTTGCGGAAGGAAAAAAAAACCTTTTAACTGAAGAAATTTTTCTTCTCTTCCATAAAGGAGATATATTTAGACCAGCATTTTCTTTATCTTTTAAAAACCTGTTCCTAATTCTGATAAACAAAGATTATCAATGACTGATATAGTTCCCTGTGTCTGTGTGTTGCTGTACATGCACCATGTGACCCAACCGAGAAACACTCTTTCAGATCTCTTTTAGGTATTCCATCAAGACAAGTATTTTAACCCAGTTTTACTTTCTGTAGTGTGTATACTGTACAATTTTACAATAGGACTTTTTCATATTTAAAATATAAAATTGTAATACAATGTTGATTATAGTTTTTAAAGATATACTCACTCCCTACCTCCCAACACTGGTTGAGAATCACTCAGTAGAATAAATGGGAGAGAAAAAAAATGTATAAACTAGAACCTGAAATGACTTCTTTAGGGTCTCCTTGATTTTTCAAAAGTGAAAACTCAAAAGTTTTTTTCTAATGAAGACATTCCCATTTGTTTACTACAAGCCTGAAACAGAGCCCTAGAGCCTAACAGAAACCAGAAGAATTTGCTGAGGCAAGGACACAAGGGGCAGCTACTCCAGAATCTGTTACCTGTGAACACCAGTCACGCTCTCTTCCACAATGCCTCGGATCTTCTTAAACACGTTTGGATACTTCTTATAAACCCAGTGGGTTAAGTCTCCCCCATCATCCAGGATCTATAGAACAGCCAGAAGACTTCTATGGGCATTCAGGCTGCTAGAGCTGGGGGGAACTTTGAACCCACTTCTGTACTATTAAGAGAGCCCTGTATATTTTAGAAGAGCTCCTTAGAGCTCAGACAGTGGAAACACAGTCAAATTTGTTGGTGTTAAATGGTTAAGCGGATCCCTAAATTTGTTCTAAGCTATAGTGAAGAGTACTGGCTAATCACATTCATTTTTAGTCTAGAGTCTTGAAATATGTAGCTCCTTTGAATGCAAAAGGAGAGCTGGGGCAAAAAGAAACCAGACTCCTACTCCAAAGAGGTACCATATCATTTCCTTCTATTTCATTCTTCTGTGTTTTAGACATATGTTCAGTTAGTTCTGCCCATCCCCCTCCTTTCCATTCAGTACTCAGAACCATTCTGAATATGCATCAAGCTAAACACTTTGGTAACAAAGTCAGTGCATAAGACCAAACATCCAAAACACATTTAGGGAACCATGCTTTGAGGGAGAAAAGGAACAAATCTTTCGTCAAAAGTGAAGGTAGAATAAATATGCATTATTACCATGTTGGCCTGCCACCCATCCATGTTCACACAACGATCAATACACCACCAGAAGTCATCTTCTGACTCGCCTTTCCAAGCAAACACTGCAACTCCTATAGAAATGGAAACAAATCAGCAGATTCCTGCTTTGGGGAGTGTGTTGTATAACAGTATCACTTTCTGAGATACATGTGAAGAGAAAAAGGCTACCGAAACTATTCAAGAAAGGAAACAATTTACAAAGGGTAAAAGTTAAGAAGTTATTGCAGAAATTGTCAAGACTTTATGGGGTCTTTGTTTTAATTTAAAAGTATTTTGGACCTTTAAAATGCTATTCTCTTTGGCCAATTTTATATTTGGGACTCAATCCTAAAGAGATGAATGAAATGGGAATCTAAACAAAGTTGTTCACTGGAACATTATTCATGTTAGCAAGCATCTTGAGAAAACCTAAATGTTCAACATACGAAAAATAGTGAAGTAAAGCCACACAGCAACTTAGTATTATACAGGATGCTGTCAAAGTTTTCAGTGTCATGAGAACTATTGAAAATATTATATATATTAAGGTTACAAATTGCATACATACTGAAATTTAGTTAATCTCTATAAAGAATGAAAAGAGGAAAAATAAGTCAAATATTCTCTCTGTGTAGCCGTATTATAGATTTTTTTCTGGAGCCTCCTAATTTTCTGCAGAAAAGAGTAAATAAGAAAAACAAGTGTTACAAAGTACTTTCTAAAGACCCTACAAAGATAGGAGATCCTTAAGAAACTTCACAGTGATAGTCTTCTGAATATTTTAACAATAAAAATTATTTAATGTTTAACCGAACTCATGAGTAATCCATACTATTTTCAGTATTTCAATACTGAACACCAAATTAATGAAGTATCAAAATAGAAGGCACTTTTTGCTTGTGTTCGCTCCAAAGTGACAAGATTTGTTGAAAGGAGATCAACTGAGCTCATACTTACATAACTCATAGAGTTTAGTATTCTCTCTTGGTGATTTAACATCAGAATTGGGCATTTTCCCATTTTATTAGGTTCTTTTCAAAGACAAATTTCAATGACTATGTAATATTCCCTTATGGATACAAACCTTAATTTTATTATCCATTTCCTCCTATTGATATATTTTTACTATGCTCCAAGTTTTACAGGCCCTAGACATCTATGTCACTGTAATAACAATTTTGACACAAAAATTTATATTTAGATAACCATATTGAGGCAAAGTCAAAGAGCTTTGGTGAAAAAGCTGAACCTACCAGCCTCAGCCAGAGCTGCAGCCACTTCATTCTGGGTGGAGTAGATGTTGCACGCAGACCAGCGGCACTGAGCCCCCAGGGCACACAGAGTCTCAATCAATACCTATGTAGATGTACAGGAACAGGTTGAGAAAGTGGAGGGTCAAACAGGAATGGCAAATAAGAACAATATACATCAGGTGCTACACTGGAAAGTTACAAATCTAGCTAGGTAGCAGACTGGTATCCGAGAGATATGTTACTAAAGTCTTAACATTTTTATTACATTTTTATTACAAATCTAATTTCCTTAAGTTGGGTTTATTAAAAGGCTTATCTACACCTATAAAAACAAAGTAGAAAACACCATTATTGTCCCACCCAATTAAGTTAGCATTAGGAGGTTGGCTAAGACAGGGAAAAGAAAGCAAGTTAAAGAAAAGTTTCTTTCCTCCTCTCATCAAAAGTTCCTCTGTTTTATCCCAAAAAACTCACCGCTGTCTGGGCTGTGATGTGTGTACAGCCCACTATTTTAGCACCAGCCAAGGGCTTCTCCCCCTGAGCACGTTTCCTGAGTGAAATCAGAGCAGACATGTCTGTGAAAGAACAGAGGATTTGAGCTAGGTGTGCACTAGCAATGTCACCTCCCGCCCCAGGAACATACAGGGCTGGTCAGGATCTGTTCAAATACAGTGAGATGAGGTAGAAAATCTCTAAGTCTATTACCATGATTACTGTCAGCTTCAACAGAACATCAGTGGGGAGTTGTCATCCAAAATAGCAGAGAATTTCTCTCTTCCTCTATTTCAGTTGTGTATAGAGGACTGAATAGTGAATGAATTCAGTTTTCAAAACAGATCAAAGTCCAGGGTAAGTTTCATTTGGGAGGAGAGGAAGTAGTTATGGCTAATCAGCTCCCAGACATAATCATCAGACCAGGAAGAAGACTTTACCCTCAGCAGAAGCGAACGGTTTCTGTTTTTGCATGCTGCCTTAACCCAACTCTGTCAGTCTGTCTGGTGTCTGCACTCCCCTCCAGAATTGAACACGCCTTCAACATGAAAGCAACAAGAGAGCAGACATCTTACCCGGAGTGGGGAGGTGGAAAAACCAAGACTGTCTGGTTGCCAGTCACTTTTATTTATTTCCAGCAGAGGGTGCTCAGCAACAAAGACCAAACAAGACCCTATGTCATGACATCCTTAGCTAAAACCTCACATTTGCTGCCTTTGGGAAATCTGGGCCTCCGAGATTGGTAACTACAGTAGGATCCCACAGAACCAACCACCATGCAGTGCTTCAGAACATGCTGACGCTGCATGTGGATGTCTGAAGATGGTGGCACCAGGAAGGAAAACAGAAACTACACTGTGTAATTAGCACATGCTGAGAACAGGAAGTAGGGAGAACAAGAACAAGATCCTGAAGCTTAAGCTCCACACAGATCGATCTGTTTAAACAAAGCACTAGGGGACTGAATTTTCCCAGGAGACTTTCAAGTTCGCATCCAAGCCTTATTTGTGAATCCTGATGACCAACAACTGGGTCGCTTTTGGTTCTGTACCCACTCCCCTTTTTTACCTTGCTCTGCAATCTCAATCTCCCGGCGTCCAAATTCTGCCTGTTTGATGTTCTTCACACAGAAATTGCTGCTGCCCTTGGAGTTGGTTTGCTGCTTTTCTCGGGGGGAAACCTCATCATCAGAGCTATCTGTGTAGGACGCAGCTAGAGCCAGGAAAGAAAGAAATGAGGATAGAAAAACCTCATTGGTCCCAACTCCACAGAGTAGAGCCCTTAAGGGACTCTCATTTAAGTTAAGCGAACATTCTTAATTGGAGCCACCTTTTACGTCACTGTCACTTCTACTCTACTCAAGGCATGAGTAAACTGCAGTGCTGTGGCCCTTTTATTCACCCTGATAATCCTTTGTCATTAGTACCTGTGCTAAGGAGCTATTGCTCCTAAACCTGCATCAGGTCCAGTGAATCTCAGATAGGGGTACTTGGTTCCAACCTGGATTAGAACCAGTCACAGCAAAAATGGGAGGATAATTTAGGGCAGACAAGGAATGCTATTTCTTGTCTCTGGTTCTCAGACCTAAGCATCTAAGCATCTATTAGCAACATATGGAAGGTTTAATAAAATATAGACGCCTAGGTCCCACCTTCAGAAATGTCCAGCAGGTCTCGGGTGGGACCCAAGAATTAGCATTTCTAGTAAGTTCTCAAGTGTTGCTGATTCTATTGATCAGAGGACCACACTTTGTGAACCACTAACATGGATGAGTGACAAGATAAATGATACACAGGGATTTACAATAGTTTTGGGTTCAAGGAATACAGAATGGAAAGAAATGTCACAAAAGGTAAGAAACTGTTTCTATTGCCAGCCCTAAGATCACTCAAGATATCCAACTTTAAAAAACAACTTCAAATAAAAGTTAAATGTTCTTTCAGAGAGATGTGCAAGAGAATAAGCAACAAGGAGTCTCACCTCACCTCTCAAATTACTTCTTTCTTCTCTGAACTGCGTATTTTCCTGATCACTGCTACTGCTGATGCATTAGGTCTCTTAGCTATGATTAGTCTGCTTGTCACTCACCACCTTCTGTTCAAATAAGACACCTTTTCACTTATGATAGCCAGTATATTTGGAACCTTTTCTTGCTTATTTATAGGTGAACCTGTATATTCATTTATTTTAGCACTTAACCCTATGTACCACCATTTGCTCTTACCTGCCTACTTTTTCTCTGTTAGGTTACCAGTAACACAGGGCAGAGACAAAGGTGGTGGTTGTTTTTTTTAACATTCCTTTTGCCTCAAGCCCAGTCTTTAATGTTAATAAAAGGCAAACAGTATTCAAGCAAAAGACAATAAATGGCTTTTGGTATAAACCTATTTGCTGACATTAATAGCAATCTGTGACCTTGGGGCAAGCCCCTTAGTCTTTTAACAATGTTTCTTCAGTTAAACAATGAAGTGATTGGATTAGATGCTCCTGTTTCTAACCCAATTGTACTGAAATCCTAAGATTCGGTATCTTTTTCCATGTTAATATTCTAGTCCCCCTCTAAAAGGTGGGAAGAACAGAATTCAAGGCAGAAAAAAAAGTCCACCGATACAGGGCTAAGATAAGAGAGGAGAAGTAAAAGGAGACAGAGCTGGAGCTACATGACAATAGCTTGACTCCTTCCCACTAGAGAGGTTACAGGGGCAGACACTGCAATATTAAGGGTAACCTAGTAAACAAAAGGAGCCAAGACATGAACTTTTTTTTTAAGATTTATTTTTATTTATTTATGCATACAAAAACTGGGGTATAGGCCAGAGGTGGAGGGGGTGAGAGGATTCACCACAGACAGAGTGGGGAGTAGAACAGGCAGGGACCTACTGAAATACACTGCTGAGGGGAGCAGTAGGAGAGACAAAGGTCTGCTGTGCCATGTGAGTCAGCTCCCTGGCCAGGGATTGAACTCAGGCTGCAGTAGCTGGCGATAGCTTTATAGTGCTGAGACTTTAACCCCTGCTCCACCAGAGAGGCCCCAAAACATGAATTTTTATTGCTATAATTCAAGCAGTTTTGGAGACAAAAAAGAAAAAGGTGGCAGGGTGTATCTTAGACAAAGATATCAGATATTATGCTTCCAAAGTACACCGCTTTTTCAAGGCCAGTTGCATCAGCCAAAATAACATTGATTTCTCCCTTTGTAATGTGGACAGATAAACATGGGAATGGGAAGCTGTCCAGTTCCACCAACCAGGCACTGGCTGGCATACACACAAGAGCATAGACCACACAGAGAGGGTCAAGGGAAGACAGTCTCAAAAAGACAAAAGCTTCCCCAGCTACAAGCCTGGCTGGGAGTGCTCCCACTGCTCAACCAGTGATCATCAGCTTTCAGCATGAATGTGGGCAGCCCTGACACAAGGTATTTTCAGATTCTAGATAAGGAGCACTGGGCAGAGAACCAGCTCAAGGCTCTGGAAAAAGGAAACGAGATCAGAAAGGACATGCCATACACACTCACCTGAACTGTAGCTATCAGTGGAGGACTGAGAGATGGAGCGAGACAAAGATCTTCGACCAGTCTTGGTGGGGAATTTGGTGAATTCTTGCATGTCATCAGCAAATTGAATTTGCTATAAGAGAAAAAATTGAAGACTTACAAATATTCTATGACATTATTTTTTAAGGTCATACATTGTCTTCCTTAAAAGTCAATGTTATGTGACTCCTACTAAGCCAACAACTCTATAAAAACTAGGGTGGATAGAGGCTACACTGCCTCCTCCCAAAATGCCAACTGTCTAATTGTTTTAGCAGGATATTTTTTCGGCGGGGGGTGGGGGGGGGAAGGGGAGAAGCTTAAGAACAAACTTTGAAAAGCATCTGTCCAATTTCACAAATCTGCCTTTTCACATTCCACAGTGTTCTTCTTATACCCTTCCTCCAAACTATCAATGTCAGGTACAATCTCAAAGAGTTTCTGTTTGTTTGTTTGTTTTTTTTCTCCCAGAATATTCTCCCATAGTACATTGTTGTTTTTTTTTTTTAAAGATTTGTTTTTGCATACAAGAGCTGGGGTACAGGCCAGAGATGTGGGGGGTGAGAGGATTCACCAGAGACAGAGTGGGGGACAGAACAGGCAGACTGACTGAAATACACTGCTGAAGGGAGTAGTGGGCGAGACAGGAGAGGTCTGCTGTGCCATGTGGGTTGCTCCCTGGCCGGCCGGGGATCGAACTTGTGCTGCAGAGGCTGCGGATTGCTTCATATTGCGGCGCTTAACCCATACTACAAAACCAATGTAGTATCCCCAGAATACACCTCTACATACAGTAAAATACTACAATATACAAATGAAAGAGAAATTTAAAAACACACATATACCATATACCATAGTAAACTGCAACTAATTAGGAGTAATGTGAAGGCAGGAGAAAATAGTTCAAATAGTTGACAATATTATAGAAAAATTAATGGCTCTTTCAAAAGTACCTGAAAACAGTTTCTTTTGTTAAAAGGCTTAAATTTTTCTTCTGAATGCCTGCTTAAACTCAGATAAGCCCTCTTTTTAAATTATAAACTTCGGCCTCTTGAAAAACAAATTGGTTTGAAAATCTGAATCGAGATCTTCCTTACTACCTGACTAAATATAAAAAATAATCCAATGGAGAATTAAGCTAAGTCCTAGCAAGTATCTCCGGAAGCGTAAGCTATTACTGATTAAGATCTTTATAATTCTAGTGATATGGTTATAGTCACTGTAAAGCCGGGCATGAACTGTCACACGTACCCTCCAGCTCCAGGTGTAAGAATCAGGCATATAAGTGCAGCCTAGGCACAGGCAGCTTATAGAAATAAATAAAAATCTGAATTAGCAGGATTCCATCGGTAATCAAACAGTAATCAAGGGACCACAGATTCATGTTTCCACACCAAGAATGAAAACAGAATAGCCATGCAATAAAGGCCAAGTACACACTACTATTTGGGTAGCAAGTCCAAGGAAAAACAATAAAAACAAAGTTTTTCCATTTACAATCCACCCTCCAACTAATATCAAAGATCTACAAAGAGCTCACATGACTCAACAAAAACAAAGTAAACAATCCAGTCAAAAAATGGGCAGAAGTGGGCCTCCCTGGTGGCGCAGGCGGTTGAGCGCCACACTGTGAAGCTGTCCACAGCCTCTGCAGTGCAGGTTCGATCCCAGCTGGCCAATGAGCAACCCACATGGCACGGCAGACCTCTCCCGTCTCGCCCACTGCTCCCCTCGGCAGTGTATTTCGGTCCGTCTGCCTGTTCTGCTCCCCACTCTGTCACTGGTGAATCCTCTCACCCTCCTGTGCATCTGGCCTGTACCCCAGTTCTTGTATAAATAATCTTAAAAAAAAAAATGGGCAGAAGAGCTAAAAGACACTTCTCCAAAGAGGAAATGCAAATGCCAACAGGTATATGAAAAAAATGCTCAGCATCACTTATAATCAGGGAAATGCAAATTAAAACCACAATGTTACCACCTCACACCAGTGTGAATGGCACATATTAAAAAAGCTGGCAACAACTAATACTGGCTAAAATGTGGAGAAAAAGGAACCCTCTTAAACTGCTGGTGGGAATGCAAACTGGTCCAACCCTATGCAAAGCTATGTGGAGGTTCTCTAATTATTAAAAATGAAGTTACCATATAACCCAGCAATTCCACTCCTAAGAATCTACCTAAATGACACAAAAACATTAATTTGAAATGAATCTTGCAAGACTATGTTTATTGCAGCACTATTTACAGTAGCTAAGACATGGAAACAACCTAAAACAGATCCAAAAACAGATGACTAGATCAAGAAGATGTGGTATATATACAGAATGGAATATTATTCAGCAATCAAAAAAGATAAACTCATGCCATTTTCAGCAACAAGGATGGAACTAGAAGGGATTATGCCCAGTGGAATAAGTCAGGAGGGAAAAGAAAAATACCAGATGATTTCACCTATAAGAGGAATACAGGGGATCCAAACAAAGGGTCAAAAAAAAAAAAAAAAAAAGGAAAAAAGAAAACTTGCAGGTAAACTATAGATCTGAGGCATGCAGGGCGGGGAGGAGGGAGATGAATCAAAGTAGGGAGGGAAGAGCACAAGGGACTATGGTAATGGTTCACAGGTGACGTGGTGATGGGAGACTTATGGGGACTATAGACAAGTGTACCAAATTGTACAAAAATAAACAATGTAAGACAATTAAAACTAAATAAAAATCCAATCCAAAGCTTCTACACACCTTCCAAAATAGAGTAAAATCCACCTATGGCTCAACATTCAACTGGTCAAGTTTTTTTTTTTCCTTTAGGCTACTCTTTCTTCTGTAAGATCAAATGATCAAATTTCAGAAAGGATGCTCAAGTTAAACTACATATACTGCACCAGAACTGGATGAACAAATTATCTTTGTACATCCAAAGCAGCTTTTTCAGTTTAGGTGTTAAACTTTAAATAGCTTAAATGTCAAAATCATAACTGCCTTTTAAAAAAATCTACGGCCACACTCAGCATTTGCCCTTCTAGATAGGAATTCCCACTGCATATTCACGTGACTTCTGCAGTCAGCAAAGCCAGTTTTACCTAAGAGATTAATCCAGGACTAAGGTAATGACTTTCAAGCCAATGTGCAGTCATTCAGGCGGTAGAAAAAATACAGTCAAGAGACCATCAATGCCTTTTAACACTCTCCAGAGGCAGCCCATTCCCCATCAGCCTCACTACCCCTGGCAAGGGCAGCCTGCCCAAGAGCTGCACTCTTCTCAGCGCTGACAGATTCCCTCCCCTGTTTGGTCATCTTTTTTCAAAAAGTTCTGGTTTATTTCCAAACACCACCTACCTGGGGGTGAGTGAGGAACTCAGTAGCACTTTAAAGCAGTTTAAGTGAAAAACAGAGGTGCACTGTGGCAAGATGGAAATGTGTTTCAACCACCTAAGAAGTGAATTAGTAGTCATAATCCCATCTCTTAGCACTATTGCTCCTCAGTAGCCTAAAGCTTAGCAAAATCTTTCTTATCTAAAAATATTAGACTGTCACAAGCAGCTTGTTAATAAGTGTCCCCACTACCCCAGCTCTCAAATAATGACCAGGGCTCATATTTGAAGTGGACAGAATGTTAACTCAAGTTATGACATGGATGGATGAGTCTGTCCTTGCACCTCTTTCATATCCTCATCACTAATAAGGAGGTCTAGCTACACATAGATGCTTACTCACCTTGTCTGCTTTCCCACCCCAAACTACAGGCTGAAGGGAATGTGCATCACACTGCTGCTGTGGCGTGCAGCTGCTCTGCTAGCTCTGTCTTCCTCCTGGAGTGTTCACCTTCACATTGTAAATAAACTGTCGCTAAGAGCAATTTTTCCGTATCACAAGCTTACTCTCTAATGAGTTGGTCTCAATAATAGTATTTTCATTGGACTGAACTCACTGCATTTAAGCCAAATATGATTAAAGACAAAATCTGAAAACGACTGCAAAGTTGTTCTGTTCACATTACTATCATGATTTCCCCCAATCATGAAATCTTAATTGGTGTGCCCTTAGTGTGTCTTCACTTCTAGATCTGTCAGGAAGGCTAGATCTAAATATGACATAGGATGGGGGAAAGAGGGAGGAAAAGGAGATTAATGGAGTCCAAAAAATATCTGACAACCAGAAAGTCCTAGGTCAAAGAATTATTTTGTGTTTGGGAACTCCCACCCCATTACAGCCGTACCCACAACAAGCGCACCAGTGTTCCAGTCTTGCATTAATACCACATCTGAGAAGCATAGAAGGTCAGACTGACTCATTCTTCAAATAGCACATCCAAATACAGAAGTCTACTTGCTGTGTCTTAGAATCTCAAATGCCAGGCCAATTTAGCGTGCAAATTATTTTACAGCACTTCTTCAAATAGCTGTGTGGATACAATGATTATCTTCCATGTGATAATGAAAATAAAGAAAAACTCTACCAAAGAGATAATCGGAGGCATAGAATACCCCAACCTAGTGGTAAGTCTGGTGAAAGTGCTGAAAGAATTACTGGATATTAACAAGAAAAATGGAGCACAATTAACCCAAAACAGTTATAAGCTACTTGAGAAGAACTGTATACTACTCACTCAGTTGATTCCAAATGGTATTTTTTACCATTGGAAGTGGAGAAGTTTACTTCTACACACATGGTCTATTAAATGGCTTCATTACACTTCCTTCCAGATCCCACCCAATTTTGCCTTCTAGTTCCTGAATCAGGAAGAATTAAAAGCCACCAGAATTCTACTATGACACTATAGGATGGTGATAGGATAATACTGGTGGAGCAGCTAATTTTTTTAGGCAATACATTTGTGAAGCACCAAGTGTTCCTCCTGGTGCTATTCCAGGAAAGATCTATGAAAGGAAATAGGTTCCTTAAAATCTGCAAGTATTTTGAACCACAGTGTAATGATAATGCAAATGGCTTTTACTGCTTCTTTGGGAACATGCTGGATATGGAATACTTCACAGCCTCATCTGGATATTATTTAGTGCAGGTCTCCAAAAATCAGAGATTAGGTAAGACAACTTATTAAGCCTGTTATTTCAATGCCTATATAACAAGGTTTTAA